ACTGCCATTCGGTTTCCACATCAGTTGTCACCACGGGGATCTGTTAAAGTCGTCCTGTGATGTTGTTTGCAAATTTCGCTCTCAGATCCGCCGAAGGTGATGTTTCCCAGTTGATTTTCTTTTTGCTTCTGCCACCAGATCATTGCATGGTACTCCATTTCTTACAGCGTAGCGTGCCAACAACAAGGTGATGATCGGTTGAACATCTTGTTTAACATCTGTTTCTTATCTCGAACATCCATTAGAGAGCGTCGTTTACTGAGACGGTACGATTAAACCCGATCATCAACTTCTGGGCAGAAGTTTCCCCGTTCCAAATATACTGATGCACGCTACAAAACTTGAAGAAGGTATTCACAATAAACAGACCGTTGTTGGCACAAACCGAGGCAATTTCATGCCGTTATTGTTGACGTTGCTAGGACCGTTCTTTCATATGTCTGCTCTGAAATGCGAATTCAAATCGTCCATTAGAATGAGGATGAGATTAAGAATTAGATGAGTGTTCGGCACATGGTACGGGGTACACTCCACTTCCTCAAGGAAGGAGTCATATTGCCCCCACGCACAGATCTGTAACGAGGTCAGGGCTTTAACGTATTGTAATTTCAGCCGGAGGATTTTCAGTCTTCCGCTGAGTGGTGTCATTCAATGACTCTATGAGCCAGGTTAGTACTCCAAGAGCACCAACACCGGCCTGAGCGCGCGTCGTGATATCGACATCCGAGTCGAATGGATTCCATTCGGAGAGGCTCATGATTCCAAAGCCTTGGCACGCCTTTGACGAGCGTGCCACTATGTCGAGTTGTTATCTTATGGCTGCATTACTTAACTCCTGCTCTTTCCCTCTGAGTTAGAATATATTCCAGTTTCCGAGTGTAATCCCTTACTGGCGATGTCGTTCTCGTGGTGCTGCTTCTGACGTGCTGTAATCGCATCGCTCTGTCTGCTTCTCCCGTTCAGAATAGATACCAACTCCGTTACTGATTGGTACTTTCGTCATTGTTTTGTCGATCTTCTTCAGCCGTTGTTTTGTGCTGCCAGTAGGCGATGGGCAGGTTCTGATCGCCAACGTTTGACAACCGCAACAACCTCCAGCAACCTCCCTCGGTACCCTAACAGCCCGTACGGCTCTTTGTAATCTAGGAAACGACTGCGACGGTATAATTGTTGATGACGTCAATGCGATGATGGGCAGGTTTCTAA